TTATTTGTAATTATAAATTATAAATTAATTAATATTAAATAATATAATTAGAAAGAAGTATTTTCAATTTATCAAGAAACGTTAGAATGCTATTATGAAAATTTCCTTTCTCTTATTTACATTAATTATACATACAGTAAAGGATTAATCTGGAGATTCCATACTCATAGGATTTTTCCATCAAAAATTGTATTTCTACTGTGTAAATGAACTTGTAGGTTGAGCCATACACAGCGCAGTTCAGTAAAAGGATATTTTATGCGCATTATTGTAAGTGTTCACGAAGCCTATCTCCTCTTCTCTACATTAATTCAGCCGCCACACCATGCATTTCCCGTTAAATGGGATAGGCGTGACCTAAACGTACAAAAAATTCTGGTTTAACACTTTATTAAGAAGAAATCACAATCTTTAATATATCTTGAGAAGATTTAGAATATCTTATGAAGGATAAGGCAAATATATATGAAGAGTATGAAGGATTAATAATTAAAAACTTTTAACAAAATAAATATTTAACAAAATAAATATTTAATTTTGTTAATAAAAAATTTACATTAAAGTTATCATATTTAATAATTTTTAATAATTTAAAATTTATAAATCTAAAAATCAAGTGTGCTTTTATGAGATCCACTCATGCATCCAATACCGGATGTTACTGTGTCATCTTGCTCTCGTTGAGACGTATCTTCAAACTCGGGTGGCAAATGTAAAATCTAAAAACAAATAAATAATATAAAATAAATATTTATATGGCACAATATATTAATTTGAGAAACAAAACAAAACATTAAAATCTACTAACTTCTATAAGAAACTTTTTACGGCGTAATTTAAATGCTAAATCTCTGTGTTGTGAATTGCCATGTGACAAACCATTTAATGCACACAATTTTTTAATGTGCAACAAACCATGATATTCCTTATACAATGGATTAAGTGCTTTTGCAGATCCCGCAAACGATTCCAATCTAATTGCTATATCCGATATGTGTTCAATTCTTTCGATAGCGAAATTCTAGAAAATAATAAGCTGTAAGAAGATTGATCGTTGTAAAGGAAATAATTTTTTGATACTTACGCTATTGAAATTATTAACTGGTATTGTTACTATGCCGACTGCATAGGAATTCCTTAAAAGTGCTCTGAAGCAATATAGGAATTTTAACAGATCACTATCAGAATATTTCTCTGTGTCACTAAGCCATAATCTTGATCCCAGAGAATGAATTGCGATTCTTAAAATTTTCTTTGTTTTCTGTTCTGGTGTTTCAGAAAGAAAATATTGTCCATCGCGTAAAGTTTTTTCTACAGTACATAATAAGTCAGTATATGCAGCGTTCTTAAATGTATGACTACTATTTTCATTTAGTGTCATTTCCTCATTAAATTCCCATTGTTTTATATCAGCATGTTCTAAGAAATCCTTTTGCATCTGCTTTGTAAGATCATAATAATGACCGAATATTTGACCTCCCATAGGAGTTGAATCTACTACTTTCATTTTTTGATATCGCCAAGCTATTTTCATTGGTTCATCTTCATTATTTGTAGTTTTCGTATGCTCCTCTGAATTATCTATAACTGCAGGCAATCCTGATACAAGATGGGAAGATTGGACATCTTGAGACGCAATCAGTACAGGTTGAGATACGACTATTCCTTCTGCCATAAAGTATTTTAATACAGTTTTAGCATAGAAGCCATATTTGTCCTCCTCTGAAAAGAAATATTTCTTTAAACATATGCACAAATAAACTCCTTCAGAATCCCTGCACACATTGTAATGTATATCAAATTTAAAGATATTATCTTGAAAATATTTAATTCTACATCATCTGAAATCTGATGTACAATGTAATGTATATGTTGAAAAAATAGTCAAATTAAAAAAATTATTTGTTTAATATGAATTACTTATTAAAGTGTGCATAAATTGAATTTAAAAAAGAAAATGTTTAACATAATTCCATAAAATTAGGTCTAAAGGAGTTGAATACATACACTACCATTTATAATTATTTGAACGACAGATATTTTATATTTTATTCCAATTTTGAAAGTTAAGTAAATATCTCTTTCTTTTTTTCCTATATTTATTAACACAAATAATACTTTATTAGAACAATTGGCGTTATTTATGTTGTATATTAGTTGTAATTGTATATATTCTAAATTCAAATTATTAGATAACGTTTATCGAACTATCTTTAACTATTCTTGAATCAATATTATACTGAATATTTCTCATCGTTTCATTGTTCTATTACAATCTATTGTTAATTATGGATTATTTTTATTCATAATTATAATAGATTGTAGCAGAAAAATAAAATAGAAAATACTCAATATCAATTCAAGAATAGTCAGAGATGAAGTTTCGTTAACATTGTCTTAATAATTTAAATTTAGATTACAAATAGAAATTTAGATTATTTAAACTTACAATTACAATCAAAAACAAAAATAGCAATCATTTTGATACAATTTTAATAAAATCTTATCTATGTGAACAACAGTGAGACACTAACTTACTTAGCTTTTAAAATCAGAGTAAAGTACAAAATATCTATTGAATAATTATAAGTGATAGTGTATGTATGTATATGTGTGTAGCGTTATTAATATTTAATCTTTAAAAGAAGAGAAGATACATCCTTTGGAGGCTGGATAATTATTGATTCAAAGCCTATTAAAAAATCAAAAGATCATTCTGTATATATAATACATATAGTCAATATAGCACATAAACTAAAGTAATAAAAAAGCATCAGCTTTAGATTTTTTATATTCTTGCAAAAAAAGATGTATGAGTAATTCTCCAAAACTTACAATATTCAACAAGTCTTGAATAATTCATATGCCTATTGCCCTATTGCCAGTTAAAGAAACATAAGTATAGAAATATACATACCAATTAAAAATATTGAGCCAATAGGTAAACCTCCGCCAATTGAACTGTCTAAAGAAGGTATCCCTGTTGAAATAAGTAACTGTGAATTTCGTAACGAAGGTTTCGTGCCTGGTATTATCGGAAATTTAGTTTTAAGTCTTGTTCCACCCAAAGCCATTGTTTTTTCCTTCTAAAGCCATCCAGTAGATATCTGAAATATAATTTTAAAGAGTATTTGAATATTGCAATCTGCAACTGTTTGTGCAAGTTTATTTAAATTATATAAAAAGTAAAATATTTGCAAGTAAATGTCACAGTGACTTCTTTGATATTTATTGTATAAAAAAATTAGACTGATGACGAAATATGTTGTTGTGAAATAAATCTTATTAACTGTAAAAAATAAAATAAATAATTTATTTGCTGGGAATAAAATTTACTTTGCCATATTTAAATAAAGACTTATTTCAGTAAAAATAAGCATTACATCTTATAAATAAATTTTTCTAATAAAGTATCTTTTCTCAGTGCATATTGGAAATATTTAATACACCTTATTAAAATTTTTTCTACTTATTAAGCACATGTTCAAAATAAATGTAATAATAAGTCTAAGATAAATTTTATTTATCGATATTTTATGATAAGAAACTTTATATAATAAACTTAATATGTCAACCTACATCAAACTTGTTTCCGTAAAATTTTAGAAACAAACTTTTGAATCCGTAGAATTTAATTTTGCATTTATATCGATCACTTGCTTCTGCTACTTTCAATAAGTCGCTTTCCATTTTCACACAAGTGATACCGAATCTAAAGTTATGTATTTTATATTCAGATAATTACGTCATTACATATTTATTCTTGCTTGATTACGATTATCGCATAACAACAATATAGGTTTACAACCTAACCTCACTTTTGATACGAGTAAATAAGATTCTGTAAAGCACGCAATCTTGAGTTTGTGCAAATTATAAAAACTCACAGTTAAATCTCACTTGTGTTAAAAAAGGAAAGTACATACATTCAATTGAGAATCATCTAGAATTATCTGGATTTTGATGTAAATGAAAAGCAATTAATGTTGAATCTCATTTTGTTACGCAAAATACTTGTTTTAACTTTAATTTTTCAAAACAGTCTAAATTTTAATTCAGACTATTCCAAAATTTTTTTTACGATGTTTTTATACATTTATAAAGACAAAATTTGATTCTGGCAAAAATTCGGAGGGAGTAAATCGAAATAAATCCATCAATCAAA